CTTTTTAATGTAGGGCTAAAAAAACTTAGTTTTCTACTTCATAAGCTTAAAATTTACTTTAAACATTTTTTATTCTTTAAAAAGTTGTAAAGATTTTGGTAAACACGGAAATTGTGTGGCTAGTGAAAAAATGTTCCAACGCCGTTACATCGTCTGTGTGGAAACAGGTCCTAAATATGTAAGTCCAAATTATGCTGGGACCAGTGAAAGTGCTGAGGTCACTTGACTGTATAACCCCTAGGCGTGATCAAGAATTCATCATACAATGTCTTAATGCTCGATCACAGCATCCAATCCAAATCTCCCAATTTAAAGTCCAGTGTCATTTATAATGCCACAAAATTAACTCCAAAACTTCTTCTGGTCATTTGTCCGATTACTCTATTTGAAATAAAATCTCAAAACTTTAGCTATAACTCTACAACTTAAATTTCTGGTTAAAGGGGCGGCAAAAATAAATTAAAAAATCCTCTAAAAAAACACTGTTGTCAACAGTAGATAAACCACGGACACAATAACGTATCTCATACACTATTCCAACTCACGTATTTTGTGAGCTCTTCGCCTATACAAACCAGTTTTTATTGCTCCATCAAAATACTCTCCCCTGTAGAGAATTGTCCAGTCATAAAGAATCTTCAAACTTGTATTTCTCAATGCCTGAGTGGAGCCATCAAGAATTACGTGCCGGTAGGGCTAAGACCAATTTGTCTCGGAATGAAAATTCTCCAAAACTCGTAATTGACCGTTTTCAATTTTAAGCATTGGGTAACTTCACTTATTTCTGAATTGTATTCCACATTTTCTTTTTAAAAAACAAATTAATCTCAAGGTCTTTATTTCAAATTGGTATTTTTTTTAAAGACTGAGTTTTAAAAAACAAAACTCATTCTAAATCATTAGCTATGTATTTTGTTTGCTACTTCAGAAGAAACCCTACAGTAAGATCAGCAAATAAGACCACACTTTCTTGAAGTAATCAACCGGCAGAGGTTCTCAGAACTCTTTGTTTCATAACAGCAGTTCTATATAGAAGGTAATGTTTTATTTCTGGCATTGTATAACAGAGAGAACTTTACCATCCAGAGACAAAATTTGAACTGATGAACTTTAACTGCACAGTTGATTTCAAAACAAAAACTTGCTCAAGGTTTACATTGTACATTAGAAAAACAAATTGTGGCGTTAAACTTTACTAGGTAGGAGGGAGAGTTGGGGAGTTGTTTTTGGGCGGATCTAGGGGGTGGTGAGATGGAGGGGCTTAACCCCCCACCCTCCAACTTTCCAAAAGAAAATTTGGAAAAACTTTTAGTAAACGAAATAATTCTATCGCATCTTTTTCAAGTTTGATATTTTTTATATTTATATACAATGTATTTCTTAAGAGCTACATGGAAGCTTCTCCACCCCTTCCCCCTTCACATGATATATATATATATATATATATATATATATATATATATATATATATATATATATATATATATATATATATATATATATATATATATATATATATGGGGTGTTAATCTCATTGGAATTTTGATCTTGAAGACGCCTAGCTGTTTAGTCATACAGGAGAAGCCATGTAAAAAAATATAAAATAGCATTAGGACTGACGTGTGTGTGTGGTCGAGGGGGGGGGGGGGGAGGGTGGAGTGTTTTTATTAGTGAAGTACGGGCAATGTTTGAATGACCGGACAGGTTTTAGTGTTATGCCATCAAATGACGCGGCCTAGCACAAGTAATTTATGTCTACCCTCTATATGAAGATACGATAGTCAGTGGTCAGCCTTAGGGTGTTGTGATATGATTCGAATATGTAGCAAGGAACCTTTTAAAGACATCTAGAAATAGCTTGGGATAGCCGTAGTTTGAAATTATGGCATCCAGTGGATATTTTATTCGGCTTAATAACATCCAGTAGCTTCTGTAAATAATTATATTAGCATGCTACTATTTCTCTGGAACTTTATACCATCAATCACTTATAGCTCATTAAAATAAATTTAAAACTTGCATTAAAACTAATATTATCTGTCCTCCGTCACCAAACTGTCCAAAACGCAGTTGTCTATTTAATTATTGTGCTACAATGTAGAATTTTGCAACAATTTAACAATATTTTTAGAAATTTTCAACAAAAGGTTTTTTAAAAACTTTTTTTATTGTTGATTCTAACGTTGACGTATTGTTGAAAAACCTTTTGATTCGCAGTTTTCTTGATGTTTTTTTTTTTTAAATTCTTTTTCAATCACATAAAAAATGTATCAAGGTTACCGTACATTCTGTATAATAAGTCGTTTGTGTGCAAAGTAAATGTTCTGAATTAAAGCTGATCCCAATCAGTTGACTTAGATCGAATTAAACAAAACTTTCATTTCCTAATTGGGTGTTTTGTTTTTCCAACGCTAATTCCTTAAAGGTCAAATCAATATTTTAATTTCGCAATGCCCTCTTCATGTCAATTTTTCGCGAACTTAAGTTTTTTCTATCTCCCCCCCCCCCCCACCCCACCACCACAAATGTTCTAAATTCAAACCTTTAATCATTTCACTGTGTATTTTTTATGGCATTCGAAGCCTTTAATATTCGAACCTCGACTTATAATTTTGAACACTACCCACAACTGAAAGAATTTCAAGAAAAGTTCACCTTGAAGACGCGTTCGTTGTCAACGTGAAGTTTCTACGCGGTAATTCGTACTCTTATGTAACTTGACATTTTCAACTTGAACAATTTAATTTGACGTGTCAACAATAATTGACTAAACTATCACTCAGCGAGTGGGATTTCCCAATGCTGTTTCTTTTTTTTTTCTGCTATTTTGGTGAGTAGGTTTACGTATGTTCTATTTTTAACTCATATAAAGTCATCAGTATGTTCTGTCTTCTAGATCCGTTTGATATCGTGTGAGATGGTTTGACTTCATTTGTTGAAGGTTTGACTTTATTTCTTCAAGGTTTGACTTTATTTCTTCAAGTTTTGACTTTATTTGTTCAAGGTTTGACTTTATATGATCAAGCTTGACCATATTTGTTCAACGTTTGACTTTATTTCTTCAATGTTTGACTTTGTTTCTTCAATGTTTGACTTTATTTGTTCAAGGTTTGACTTTATTTCTTCAAGGTTGACTTTATTTCTTCAAGGTTGACTTTATTTCTTCAAGGTTGACTTTATTTCTTCAAGGTTGACTTTATTTCTTCAAGGGTTGACTTTATTTCTTCGAGCTTTGACCATATTTGTTCAAGGTTTGACTTTATATGATCAAACTTGACCATATTTGTTCAACGTTTGACTTTATTTGTTCAAGGTTTGACTTTATTTGTTACACTAGTTTGATAAAACTTTACGTGATTGTTGAAGCCGTTTGACAACCTATTTTAAACTGGTTTAACACCATATGTTGAACTGGGCTAGCATCAGTTTTGCATGTTTTTGGTGATTTTGGTGAGCTGGTTCAACGTATTGATAACTGGTTCGACAAAGTTTTTATTGAAAGTATTTAATTGATCTGTTTTTATTGAATTGTTCGCGAAGCCTGTGGCTCAATGAACCAGTTTAACTTGAAACACCATTAAAGTTTTTAGTCTGACATTACTTGCTCAATTCGATTAACATCATTTAACCCTCTCGTTTAACTGCATTTAATTAACTGGATGACAACACTCGGAACATTTTTTTTCTTCTAGCGGTTCCATTAGCGTCCAAATATCGATACTAAATCCCCAGAGAATTGCTAGTGGCTTTATCGCTACTCAGATAGAAGGACTATTGGTTTTTTTCTTTGAAAAAAAAAACATCAATTTCCCTAAAAGATGAGGAAAGGCGATTGTTCTACTTTTGGAACTTTTTCAATTAACAAATGCAACGCTTTTAATGGTAAATGTCAAAGTTTTAAGCTAAAGACGGTTTTATTTTACAAAGAAAAAATTGTTACGAATATTTCAGACGAGACAATTATAAAGCTATGTAAGCATTTTCCTCTACTTTTTAAAGCAGGCTTTTTATTATTTTTTTCAATAATGTGTTTATTTTGTGTGATGTCGTTGACCCATTTATCTAGGAGCGGGAGTATTATGTTTAAATTTAAAAACATCTTCTCTCAAATCTTTCGTTGTTTCATTAACAATGTATGCTATTAAAAAATTAGTGTTAATATATAAACATCTTCTACATAAAATCTTACTTTCTTCGTTTATTAAGTTTATTTAAGGAATATAAATTTAATCTGAAGTTAGAATCAAACAACACAAGTCACTGGCATAAGCAGGAGGGGGTTGGGGGGGGGGTATATATATATAAAGTATGAGGGGGTGTAAATCGAAAGTTTGAGGGGGGTATAAATCGAAAGTTTGAGGGGGGGGGGGTGCAAATCAAAAGTTTTTAGGGGGGGGGTGCAAATCGAAAGTTTGTCCCCGGGTAAAAATTTGAACCCCCCCCCCCCCCCATGAAACGATCCTGGCTACGCCACTGACACAAGTGTATTGACAGAATAAAATATTTTTTTTACAAGAACGATCTATTGTTTTAAAACATCGAGTTTTTAAAACTTCAGCTTTCCAACCAATATGTATATTGTAATAAGGTTACTTGTGGGTTGTTTACAAATAGTGCAACCACTCTTATTGAGTCTTTTTTACAGGGTTGTCATTCTTGGGTTTATATCATTGATTCGAATCTTTAGTCAACTAGAACCAGATTATCTAAAGCTCATGATTTACATATATGACTATCATGAACATTAGAGGGGAACACGAACAGTATCGGTCTTTAAGTTGAAACCACCAAACGTCCACAACTGATTAGATCGATACTCTCAGATTGTAATCACCTCCCTTATCAACGGTAGCATCTTCTAAGCGAATCACCTCATTTGCATTATTGCACTAGACCCTACACCAGGACCAGTCTCGGCTAGACCCGGGGTCTGGGAGTGCTTTGAGAGTACGGTAGTCTGGATTCACCTTCCCCCATATTGTATCCTTTTTCTTGACTAGCCAGGAGCCTGGATAGGATGCTTGTCTTTGACGTCATGTGCCCAAACAATGATAACCTCGGTCATTGACCTCTAGGTTTAAAAAAAATCTGAAAGCAATTTGATGTTTCTTTTGTTTTACCCTCAAAGATGATTATGACAAAATGTGTGCATTATTTTTTTTTTCGAAAATTGTAGCTAGATTATGTTCAATTTTAAAAAAGAAAAGTAAATCGAACATGCAATTACTATATATTTTTATGTTTAAATTTATTTATTTTTTAAATTAAAAAGTCGTTTTGATTTAAATGAAAAATAATGAAATGAAGCATTAAGTACGAAATTTAAAAAATATATATAGCTGTATTACTTTGCTGATTTAAATTAAAAGTAATTAAATTAAGCATTCGACACAATATAATCGAGATGCAAATTACTTTGCAAAAAAATGTTTATAGCCAGCAATATATGTACATTCAAATACTAAAAGCACACAATCAACATATATGTCAGTACTTGAATCCCGTAATCTATTTCAGTACTTAAAGCACACAATTTAAGGCAAGAATGTCTTATTTTTAGACTAATTCGATATTAAATTTGTCATTTTACATTAATTTGAATATATTTTCTATTAACGTATTCGCGAAATATGTCTGGAATCTAAGATATGTATCTATTTTTAAAGCATGCATACAATGCCAGCTTAAAGTGATGGTTATAAAGAAATAGGTCTACTTGACGTGATATTTAATCGATCAGGTAGAAGGTGATTTTTTTGTGTAGGCCTACTTGTATATCTTTAATAGATGTATTGAAAAGTAGAAAATAAAACAACTATAAAAGCATCAATATTATAATAACAAGTTTATCAACGCATTGATAATAGGAATTTAAATATATTTTCTCTAGCTATAAAATAAATATAAAGCTTTGACAGCAAACTACATTGAGAAGATTTCTAGAACAACCCGGAAAAATATGTGCAAGCGGAAAGCAGCGCAAACAGAAAAAATGCGCAAATACAACTCATTATACTAATACACTAATTTTCTAATAGTTCGTTGAAAAATGTTTTACTATGCTACAATGTACACGTTTTCATTCTGTGCTTGAGTCTCTAACTGCTCGATTTAACAAAACAAAAACGTCTTTGCGCTCTTTTTCGTGCGCATTTGTTCCATTGCGCATCCTTCCGGTCAACGCTTATTATTTTTGTAAAGGTTTTATATGTGTTTTATTTGTCAATATTTAGACTAACATATACCCTACATTTTTAATAAACCTGAGATATTAAGCAACATGGAACTCTCTCACTACATAATTTGCGAGCCGGGCAGGAATCGAAAGTTTAGAATTTATCAGAGGCATTTTTTTCTAGAATTGCCGTCGGAAGCGGTCCGTTTATATGATTCTATTTGGAAGTGGTCAGTTTCTATAACCACATTTGGAAGTGGTCAGTTTCTGTAATTACCTTCGGAAATATGTCTTTTCTAGAATTACATTTGTTAAAGGTAAGTGTCTAGAATCATTAAAACTTAAAAGTGTTGTAACCAAAGTTTCAACAAAAAACTATCTTGATTTCCGTTTTTGCTTGTGTTTTTAAAAACTTTTCCTATGTAAATACAATACATATATATAAACAAGTTGGGTATATTTATATTGCCTATATAAACAAGTGGGGTATATTGTTATTGCCTACATAAACAAGTTGGGTATATTTTGTATTGCCAAGTCCAAAACCAAAACAATTTTCTTTTTTTAAGCTTCACTGCACTCTTGTAAGCGACTGCTCGTGATTTCAAATATAAAATTTCATTTAGAGCAATCGATGTGGAAGTTGCGGCAATAAAAAACGCGCTGAACTTTTAGAATATCTGTTGTTGTAACGGTAAAATAACATAATTACAAAATGTATCGGTGTTGTAGAGCTGATATTATCCGGGAAGCTCTGGTGAATGTTTAATGGATTAAAATTCCTGTGGTAACACATCAGTACTTTTAGATCAATATTTGCGGTTCGATGAATTCTCTACCAGTCGAGAGTCGTTCAACTCAATCTGTTGCTAATTAATGCTGTTGGTTTCATCATATGTTCCGCTTGACTGGGCTTTGTATTTATCACTACTTGTAATGGCCTTGTGGCTAATCAGCAGTGTTATATGGTGGTCCTGTGGTTCTGTGGTCCTGGGATCATGTGGGCAAGTGATCCTTTGATCCTGTGATTCTTTGAACTTGTGGACCTTGGATCCTGTAAATTTGGTATCTGTGGGCCTGTGAATTGTGGCTATGTGATAATGTAATCATGTGGCTCAGTGGTCCTGTTGCCGTGGCATCGCGTGGTCTTGTCGTCCTGTGAAGCTAATGCCCAAGGAGCATGTGGCCCTTAGATCATGTTGCCCTGTGGTGTTGTGGCCAGGGGATCACGTGGACATGTGATCATGTGGCCATGTGGTCCTATAGCCATGTGATCCTGTGGACTGTGATGCTCTGTACCTGTGAACTCGTGGCTCTTTGATCAAATGGCCCTGGTACTGCTGTGTACCGGTGACCTTGTGGCCCAGGGATCACGTAGCCCTGTGACACTGTGGCCACGTGATGCTGTGGCCCTGTGATCCTGTGTGCTTTTAATCGTGTAGTACCTGCATCCTGTTGTAGCACTAGGATTCTGTGAACTTTTGATTCGGTGTACTTGTGATCAGGTGCCATTGGATTGATCATGTGATTCTGGAATACTGCTACAAAAGAGTTTGGCTGACGCACTTTGTTTGTGTAGTAACTGTTTATGTCGGGATGTCAACACATTTTGTATCCGTAACACTTTTCGTATGTATCAGTCAACACCTTTCGTTTGAATCAACCAGCACCTGTTTGTTATCAATATCTACTGTTGGTATAGTTTGTTATAAAACGCAAATATCTTTTAAGTAACCCCAAATATGCATCATTAAATCACAAGGTTTTAAATTGCGCCAACTGCTAATTAACTGGCATATCTTTCCATCTGACGAATACGATCTTTCGAAACCTAACACCTTGTATTTATTTGTATGGAGTTGCTTCCTAATTTTTGAAAAATTTTGTATTTTTGTCTTAAATCATGAGGGGTTCTAGTTTCCAAAACTTTTTATTTTTAAGATTTATTTTAAATATAATATGGGTTTTTCGCTCCACATCGCATTAATAATAAATTGATGTGTCCAGTTATAAACAAATTACGACATTTATCTTTCATATTATAAAAAAATTCATAAAATATTTAACCTTCATCTATTTTTTAACACTTTTCGTTGCGGTCAAGTATTTGCCGACTTCTTATCTTAAAGAAAGATGCACACGAAAACTTTCTCCTCAGAAGAAATATCTCACCAAACTCTTTCCCCCCCCCCCCCCCCCCCCCCCCCCTCGCCAAAAGCCGACACTTCGAAGATCAAAATCAAAATTCATTAACGCGCTATATTATTTTTCTCTTTTTTCTTCCATTAAAATCATCATATCATTAAATCTCTCATCTTCTGCGAATATTTTTTTATGATTAATTTTTTTCCCCCTCTCCAAAACTGATGAAATTTACACCCAGAAAAAAAACCGCGCGTTAATTATCCGTCTCTTCTGTGGTTCTTGTTTTCTCTAACCGAAAAAAAACAAAACTAAACCGGTCTCAGGGCGATGGGAGAATGAGATCGTGACGTCACGGCACGGCGAGATAGGCCGGCATATTGTCCGCCATTGTAAGGGGAGGTAATTAACGCGGGGAATGTACGTTGCTAAGTAAGCTGCCCTTTTAAGCTTTAATTTAGGCTGGGAAAATCGTAGGACATCAAACAACTAGGCTAGTATTAATAAGTGTAAATATTTTTTTTCTGTATTGATATAGGCCTGTTGTACTGTAGAACTGTTCTAGGTTGCTTGTTGGTGAGATGTTGGCCCTATATTCTGTTTACAATTTCTGCTTTTGATATTGCTGAGGTGAAGGTTTGTTGACTTATACACACATGCTATAAATGAGGTCTTTAAATATAGAATGGGTTTTTTTTTTATTGAATCAATATAAACAGGGGCGTGTCAAATTAGATATTTATATGTAAATTAAAGCAGCAAAAAGGCCAGCTCCGACCTTGTTAAGTAACGGGGACACGCCCATGTGCACGTTGTGTGTATACACCCCTGGGTGTTGGTGAGGTCATGTTTGAGCTGATTAGTGTGTGTTTATGTGTGTGTGTAGATGTTTTCTGTTCTCATCTTCAACCCGAGCTGTGAACTTTCTGTGGGCCCGAGATAAAATGGCTGCTTTTGTGAACTTGCTCGTATACAAGTAAAACACGGAGCTACAAGGAAAAACAAGCATTACCCCAACTTTGCTGTTACATTGAAGTTCCGTTTATTCTTCACATTCATTGTGGCTCATCCATAATAGCTCGGTGTATTCCTCAAACAAATTTAATGTAGCTCCTACAAATTAGCTCTGTCTGTTCTCTCACACACATGTAGCTAATCTGTCTTAGCTCTGTGCATTCTTCACACACACACTCAATTTAGCTTATACAAGTTAGCTCCGTCTATTCATTACACGGTTTTTAGCTCATTCAATTTGCTTTGTTTCTTCACACCCTATGTAGCTCATTCAACTAAGCTCCTTCTATTCTTTACACCCTATGCAACTCATCCATCTTAGCTCTGTTTATCTCATACACACCAAATATAGCTCATCCATATCAACTCTGTATTATTTACACCCTATGTAGCTCATTCAACATATCCCCGTGTATTCTTTACACCAAATATATCTCATCCATCTTAGCTCTATATTCTCAACGCAAGGCGTCCCCTTACATTTATCATGCAAATATCGCCAAGCCTCGACGTCGTATTTTGTATGACAAAACTAGTCTCTCTCTCGTATGTCCCCTCCCACAAAAAATTGGTTTCCTAATTTAAAAAAGAAACAAGCTTCACCTCCCTTGTGTATTTGACATTAGTGGAAATCTAAACTTTATTGATCTCTTGGTGGTCCGCAGTTTAGTTGAGATCTAGAACTCGCGGGGCAGGACGTGCCTGTATTACTAAAACTCCTGGAATAATTTCTCCTC